GCCGCCGCGGGTCACCGGGCAGCCCCTGGCTCGCTGTCCTGAGACTGGAAGCAGGATCTGGCAGTAAACAAACCAGCGAACCGCTTTTCCAAATGTAAGAGGTGCGTGGTGGCGAGGACGAGCTACCATGTGCCCAAAACCTAAAATTCTATCCAGCTGCCCGTGCCGAGGTCTCTGTTTGTGGTAACGTATTTTAAGAACTTCTTTGTCAAACTCTTCTGTAATAACTAAACCTCATTTAATCTGTTGCTGCATCCACTTCTCATACCATGACTGTGGGCTGTTGGGTTACAAAAGTTACTTCATGTCACTTGGAATTTTAGTTCTTCACAAATCCACTCAAATTCAGGTAATCTTTATCAGTAATAGTGATAGAAACAACAGAGGAAGTTATCACAAAATCAATTATACCTTATCTATTAATGTAATATAAATATCTCAAGGTTTATGATGCATCACTTAATTTATTAGTAACAACGAATAAAAAAGGCTAATATGTACTAGCTGCTAAAAGCCTTTGTTAAAATGCAATCCCCATTTGAAAATGTTCTCAGTCTAAAGAAATGGACAAAGCATGGGAACTGTAAAACATAGCAGAGTCACAAATATTTTCTTTACGTACATTTTTGATCTGTGCTTACTAGGATGTGCATAAGAAGTGAGAAAGGGAGCAAGCAGAAGAGAGACGGAAAAGTTTTTTCACAGCTTTTCCCTCCTTAGGCACACGATCTGAATTTTGGAGATGTTGTGAGGACTGATGCAGCATAAGAGGTAAACTAGATTTTTAGATTTCATCAAGGTATTTTGTCCTTGCAAGAAATGGTCAGTTTTACTTTTTGATCAGTGAACACTTCACAATAAACCAGGAAGTGGTTTTGTGGTACCAGGGCAGAAGCTGACTGAAAATTTGCCAGGGTCACAAGTGTTTCACTCAACTGTACTCCAAACACTGTACGTAATGTTTCTGAAAATGTTCCCTTCTTGTCGTAGTTCAAATATTATGCTGCTATCCATCCTTGCGCCAAAGACCTCATCTTGGGAAGGATCCTGCCAAAGAACAAGTGGGTCTGCTGATAAGAAAGGCTACAGCACACAGAGGCAAGTTTATAGCACTGCAAGCATACATAGATTTGTAAATGGTCACAAGTTTCAGCAAGGTAATTAAATAGAAGATCCCAGAGTTACAAACTAAACATTTCATAGCAACCAAACAAGGCTTAAAACAGCTACAAAAAATGTAGAACACGAAAGTTTTGGGAAATTTAATTACCCAAGTGTTCTGAGGTGCAAACTGTCTTTCCTATTTATTCGCTTTCTGCTTTAAGCAGCCCTTATAACAAATCCAGATTTATTAGGTCTTAAGTAAGCTAACAGGTTTTGTATCTGGCATTTTCCCCTTCTGAAGACAAAGAGATCCAGTACCTAGCACATCCTCAGCTGGCACAAAAATCCTAGAGTGTTCAGTTACTGGTAAACCAAAGCTGGCAGCACATCCTCGTCCAACCAGGAAAGTGAGATCCAGAAAGCAGAAGTGCAAGACCGGAGAGCACACGGACAAGTGGGCTGGTCCAGGCACGGTGCAAAGTAGCACAGGAATGGAACTGGAGACCATCAGAATATTTCCCAACTAGCAGACATGTTGCTATAAAATACCCCAAACTGAACTTACTTACAAATGAAGTGATAACCTATCACCATAATTTGCCAGTTACCTTCTTAAAACCATCAGGAACACCAAGAAATCAGGTAGTCCTCTCCTGCCTGAAGACACATTTAACTACACCCTACATCATCCTGTTTTCAAAATATTGAAAATTCCTTAGGCAATCTTAGTGCTTCCCACAAATAACTGTTAGAGTATCTCAGTGACAGCAACTAAGTTTCTGTTCAGTGCAGTCTTATCTTTTATGTTAAGAATTACGTGAAGGCATCCTTGTGACATTAATGAACTGTTGTGATTAATTTAATGTGCTATGCTGAGAGCGTCAGCCAACTGAAGAAGTTAACATTTGTTTCTATCCGTTCTTTAAGTACCACAGTGACATACGAGTTGTTTGATTTCAGGAGCAATACTTGGTTGCAAATAGCTTTCACCAAATGTGGTATTTTCTGATTTTCACCATGTTCACTAGATTCACAAATTTGTAAAAGATTAAACACTGAACAGTTTACAAACCAAGCTACTGTTTTTAGAAAGCAAGCTTGAGAAGGAAACCTCAGTAGTTTTAAGATATTTTAAGAAGCTAGTAAGACACATGCTGTTGCTTTCTCTTTCAACCATAAGTTCTTCAGTTTCAGCCCTTTTTACAAGTACAAAAACTGAACACTAAACACTAACAATTTTTCATGTAATTTTGTAAACTACATCTTAGCCTCACTAGTTTTTCACCCTTGAACAGATTATACAATCACTGGTTGCTACCAACATTGTACATTTCAAGGCTGATATACCAACTCCTGTAGGCTCGTATAGAACTTTATAGTCAAAAGTGATTTAGTTTTACTTCAGGCTGTTTATCAGCTTGTTCCTGTACTGCAAAATGCATCCTTTTTATTTAATAAATGACAACAGTACTTCTACATTCAATCTACACCACTAGTGTGTACTCCAGCCCAAGAGCCATCCGATACCATCTCCCTCCTGCCCTCCCTGGGAAGTGAAAACAAAATAGCGATGTACGATGTACCTTTGTTGTGCCGTTTCTCAGAGCTTGCTTGTAACCATCCCCTCTGCCTCTTAAGTTTTGTGGGCCTCGTTCAGTTTGGCTACACTTGCTAGCATGCAGAGGATCAGGATGCACCTGCAAACTTGCAGCACATGATACTTCCTTGAATTGAAGGTTCCAAGTTGGCACCATTCACGGAGAGTATTTCATGTAACAATAGGCTGTTGTTCTTTCCAGCTCAGTTTACACACAGCTTAAGAGATTCACCAACACATAAACAAATGGCCCTCGAACTACTTGTATATTTTGAAGGGTGGAGGGAGGAACTGTTTGCGTCCTCTATAAATGAATAAAGAAACTAAAGTGAAAGATGCATGAATAAACCTCTTTGGTAAATGCAATTCACAGGTTTATTCTTGTTTAAGAGTATTTAACCACATATATCTGGTAATCAGACAATTATGTGACTTTGTGACCACAAATGACCATTAAATGAATTTGCATCAAATGATGCAAAGTAATTAGAGCTATAATGCTTTGACTAAAAAAATCATAATTTTTTAAAAGATGAAGTATATGACAGTATTTGTAAACTGAACAGCAAATATTTATCTTAAAGAGATCTTTAACAGTAAAAAAAATTGGAGCCATGGAAGATGAGTAATAGCAAATGCTCCTTTAACAGTTTAACCTTTTCCCCAGATACTGATTTTTCCTTTCCTTAATGCTTTTCGTAGGAAACACACCCTTTGTAACTACTCAACGTTATTTGAAAATTAGATGTCTGCCAAAAAATAGGCATTTACATTGTTACTTCTGATAGGAGTTAGTATGTTTTAGAAGCAAAAATTACAGCTGAAGTTTCTGGAAAAACATCAGTTCCCCCATGATTATATAACCTTTGATCAGACAGTTTCCAGTTTGTTCCGTGATTTAAATACAACCACTGCTTTATGCTGACAGCCATATAAAACTTAAACTCTAACCCATGGTAATAATATCAAGATTTTGAAGAGCTACAAATGCAGCATTTGCATTTTCAGTGCCACACCATGTTGAATTCAGCACCATCTAAACCCAAAGCAGCAGCTGGTTAAAAAAAGAGAAAACATAAGTCAAATGATAAAGCTACACAGTTTAGTACATTAAAACAAAAGCAAGGACAATGGTATTTGTATAAGCTTCCAAAAATATACAGATGGGGGAAAAAAATTTAAAAAAATCACTGTACACAACTCTGAGGTTGTTAAAGTGACCGGAGAGACTGAACAGTGCAAGACATGCTTTTCCAGTTACAAGCTCAAAAAAGAAGTGCAAAAGAAATTAAAGCTTTGTCTGAAGTGTTTTACCTTATAGGATAAGCAAAGCTTCGAATATTGTCATCAGTGTTACAGAGAAATTTCCATCCCACCCCACCCCCAACACATACACACAAAATAGTTTAAGTTTTTCTCCATAATACAGCATTTCCTTCAAATGATGTCCCCCAAGCTTGGTTATTGTAGGGACAATTTGTCTGACACTTATTAGACGTCGGCCTACGAATCAAGTGACGCATAGGCAGCTTCTCACTTCTCCAGCTTTGGCTAATGACACCTGCAATTTACAGGCAGTGAAAGTGGCCGATGAGCCTGGGTTCGAACTCTCCTGCGACCGGCTTCGTAGCACCACCTCCTCGTAAGGAAGCAGTTGTGCTGAAAGCAGATGCTAAGTTATGGCTGAGGAACAAAGAAATTTCTCAATAGGTCTCTGCACTCTCTTCCCGGAGTTAAGAACGATTTCAGGCAAGTGCTTTTAGCAGGCTAAACTGTACATGCATCTATCCATGCAAATGCAGAATATGGCTCCCAAGACCTAGAACCAGGTGTGTGCACATGAAGACTGGACAGAAGGCCCTTCCTTGTAGGTTTACAAAAATATATAGCCAATACTGTAGCTTAAGAAGTCAGTTTTACTCATTACAGAGATACCCAAAAAGCATTAACTACTTTTCAGACATTCCAGACAAGGTCACTTGTAACAAAAAAGGTCAAGTTCTCTAAAACAAGATCTTAAAAGTGGATCTTTCCTTCAAGTGAACAGGACATCTGTTTTTACGCTTAACTTTTTAGTCAGTTAAGACTGAATTTATTTAAGATTTTATGTGAACATATGCGTAAACACAAATAAGTTTACTTTAAACACATCTGCACAGAAAAAAAATTAACCTTTCAAAACATAACAGAGCAGGTCTGATTAGTACATAACTATTGCAGATCTTAAAGATTCTGTGCATTAGGCCCACCCATACAGAAAGCAGGGGAAAAGTCTCAATGAAAGAAAATTACTGTTCAAGTCTAAGTGGTGTTTTGAAGAGCCGGCAGCCTAAGTGACACCATGAAGCTAGTCACAGTATCCAAACAAGTAGACCTGCTTAGGCTACTCAAGCAGTGTTTCCTCCTGAAGGTGTCATTTACTCCCAAGTTATTTCCTGCTTCGAAGGCGTTTAGATTTCCTACGACAGTCTGTGGATTCAACTGCCTTCCTCCGTTTTCTTGGAGATTGTTCATTTGAGCCGGAACCTGAAGAATTTCCTACTGTACTCTCCATCACCTCTCGCAGCTTGCGTTCAAGCTCAGCCAATCGGGCATTCTGTTCACCTATGATTTGGGTTTGCTCAAGCAGTTTCTGGTCTTGATCTTGGAGCTGTTTCTGTTGCTCTTGCACTTTGACGCGAAGCTCTGAGATTTCCCGCTTTAGCGCTGTCAGGCCCGTGCCGTTGGCTTTTACTTGCTGCTGGAGTTTGGTGACCTCCTGCCTGGAAGGGTTCTGCTTGGAGAACAGCTGCATTGTTGTCAGCGCTGCAGAAGGCCCTGGAACTTCAGAGAAAATGGTGCAACTTTAAGGCGAAGGTAGAAATTGTGTCCCGGTTTTCAGATTTTGCTTATCCCAAACTTCCCAAACATGAACCTGAGTACTGGCTGCAAGTTATGTGAATGTGTAAATGGATTTACAGTCTTTTAGGTGGTATCTCAGAGCACAACTAGCTTAATTTAAAACATCCAGCTTTTCAGCAGTCTGGAAAACAGCTCATCATTCATTTTGTTTATAAGCCCCTCTCCTTTAGCGGTATCTAGGTAGAGATACTCTAACATCTACACTTAGTGTCATAAATGTTAAGTCAAAAACCCAAAACATGTCTATAAGCTACTTATTACAGAACAGCTATGTGAACTAAACAAATTTCAACGGAGCGGTACAATTCTGCTGCCTTAGCTGCAGACAGCTAAATTTCTAAAATTTTCTGGCTTGGGGTTTAACAAGATGCTTCATTTAATGTACTTTTTAGGAGAAAGGGATTTATTTTCAGTGCTTCTTAAGAACCACTCTTCCTACATACTAGAACCATACTGGAATTTGAGCTTGGAAATGCTGATTTTAATAAAGTTCCTACATATCAAGGAGATTAAGAGCTACTGTATAATTTTTTCCTGTCATAACCTATCACTTTCTATCATTTTACTTTTCTAGCCATGCTGTGCAAGATGCAACTTTTAAATGCTACAAAGGCAGAACAGTCTGGAAGAGCCTAGAACGGTCCTTTCTTCTCCTTTTTTTTTTTTTTCTTTTAAGATGCCAGCATAGCTACAGTTACATGACACTAAAGGATTGCCACTGCGTAAGTTATGCTCCTTCCTCAACACAAGATGGGTAATTTTATGCCACATCAAGCTTTGGCTTTGAAAAGCTGACTGACATCAACTATGATTTCAGGCAATACTTCCTCAAGTGAAATACTCAATGGAACTGAGGTACAATTAACAGGATATAATTAAGAGGTGGTACACACACTTATAGCTAAAAGGATGATCAGGACCTATGAGAAACAACAAGCAGCTCCTACAGCTAGGCCTATCCCTTTTGCTTAAGACGTAATTATTTTTATTGTTTTATTTTTATTAAGTTATCCTTTCAGAGAGTTAGTGTCACAGTTCCCAACAATTGCAAAGATGTTCAGCACAGGAAAAATGCTACAGGTCTACTAAACTTTTGCTTTTGGCCATTTTATGAGGTAACTACCCTAGACTTCGGTTCACAAAAGTCCTGGAAAGTCTGACAGTATACAAAGCAACAGTTTAGTTGTTTATTTATAGAATGTCATTTTAATTGCCTTTTCACTATTACCCATATTTTGCTTTTAAGTGTATACACTAGTGCCCCAGGGAAGTAAAAAAGCACATACAAGTATGTCTGAGCTCTCTATGTGCTACGACAGCTTAGGCTAATTAATTTGCTGATCGTCCTAAAAAGAAAAGGCATCGAGTTGTCATCTCATATGCCAAATTTCAACCAAGTGCAATGATAAAGTCTCATTCATTGGTGGCACAAAAGCGTTTGTTTAATGAATACACACTATGCATAATTCTAACATACATTCAAGTGACTGTTCTTCTGGTAGTACAAAGGCTCCTTAAATTTCAAAGCACACGAATTTCAGTTAGCATTCTTAAGAAACAAGTATCATCAGTATTTATGTCATAAAGCTCGCATTTAAGGAAAGGAGCTTTAAAAAGATACAGCGCTGAGAGTTTGTACAGAAAAACTAAATAAAACTTAACTATACGTTGGAATACCTGGGGCAGTTCCTATCAGACGTCCCGATACATCTGACCCAGGCATCTTTCTTTTCAGTATTGGAACAATCTTCTCATCAAAGTATTCCATAGCCATGGAGGAAATGTCCCTTAGTTCTTGAAGAACTTCATGAGCTCTCTGAGGAGCTCTTGTAGAGTTTACATACCTTAGCACACGATAAATTTCATCTATTACCTAAAACATTTAAGAAGAATTAGGATTTTCTGATAAAGGCAAGATTATTTCAGGTCATTCTAGAAGTTCTGGCATATTCAGGGGCTTCTACTACACACCTATTGCATGACACTGTGTGCTTTAATTCTGGATCAGCATTTTGAAATGAAATGCTGCTCGTGGTATATCAGAGAAGCAATTCACCTGGTCTATCACAGCAACCCTCTTTGAACTCACGAAATAATGCTCACTGTGTGCAATTTTGTTTTACTGCATCCATTCTTGAGGTCTAAGTTAGATAATCTATACTCAGCTGAGCAAAATTTCTTTATGGAGAACTTGAATCAAGATACTCCAACAACACAGAGCAGTCACTCCCCCAGCCAGTTATGAAACACATGAATAGAGTAGCACGAATTATCATTACGTCAGTCTGAAGAGCTGTAAACGTTTACTTGAGTCCACTTGCATACACCCAAAATATTGCAAATTCAGATTAAGTTCAAAGTACATTGTTTTATAAAACATCAACCCACTACTGTCAGAGAACATAAGTATCCTCTTAACAGGTTTGACTACCTCTTTGGTTAGGAGAGACACAGGGCGATGAAAAGTATCTCGCTAATTTATGAATTCTAGTCTGAGGCAGGTCAAGATAGGAGTGCTGGTCTCTTAGAACCAAAACTATTGACGTGGGTATTTTGCACAGGATTAACTCCTGAAGAACACAGATCTTAAGGCTAAAGTGTCTTATCATGCAACAAGCTTACAAAAGACTTCTCTAATTTTACTCACGTTATATCCCGTTAGCAATAACATCTGCAAAAGCTTACTTCTGCCCTCCTTGATATAAAATCTTGCAGCAGTGCTCTGCTATCACCAGGAACACCCACACATCCTCAAATCAAGATTCACATATTCTAACACAAATTCACTTCCTGACAATTCTGTGGCAGCTTCCTGAGAGGAGCAGGGCAGGTGGGGGCAAATCACAGGCTGCAAGTGAACACTAATCCTTGAACTTGCTTCACCAAAATAGGATTTTCCAGTGAACTGGTAATTGGGCTGAGAGAGTGCCGCCAGCAAGCTCACACAATAAGTAATAAAAAAAACCAAAAAAACCCTTTTGGCTCTTATATCAGAATACAAACAAGGTCCTTATGACTCAGTGCCCACAAGGAAAGCATCTGGCAAGCTCACTTGCCCAACTCCTGCATACTCCAGGTCTAGACCGAGTATTGTGTTTCCATCTGCTGTTCAGAAAAGTAAGGCAGCATTTCTTTTAAGTAACCCATTTACTATGTTGAGTATTAAGGACTTAAGTTTATTTGTATTTACTTTTTGCAAATACACGGTATATATAAAAATATAAAGTCAAGTAAGTATAAATATATTAATCTAATGATTTAGAACTAATTATCAAGCCAACAAAAATGTACAGAAACCAATTTTCTTCAAGACAGAAATATATTTCATGCTGACAGCCTATTCTACTGTGCTGAATGTCTGCCACGCTCCACCTGAATCCATTGCCTAACTTCTCCATTTGTCCCAGTGCAATTCAGTTATCTTCCCATGAAAAATTAATAACATATCCCAACCTCACATGGAAAGATCAACGAATAGAGCACTAGACTAATGTTCACAGATCTTGTTTGAACCCTGAGCTGTACCAGTCTCCTCAGATCATGATTCTTCAATTCCCCTGTGTACTTCTGCTGTCATAGCTTATAAAACAGTGGTGTCTCTGCTGTACATCTCACTTGCATAATTTATATTTTATGTCGGGGTAGCATTCTGAAACATCAGAATTGTTCAGCAGCATTAGCATTTAATGTGTTTTATCTACATTTAAAACTAATTCTACCTACTGTACAAAAAGACTCCATCCACTGCAATACAGTGTTTCTACATACTAAGAATCTTAATTCAATTAATCTGAAGTACTCAAATCCTTAAGAAAGCTGCTTAAAATCTTCCTTATTGAGTGCTTAGTGTTATACATAGTCTAAATTACATCTTCTAATGACCTGTCCTCCAGCTGTTTTGTAAAATTAAAATTCATAATTAAACCCCATGTATCAGATGTTTCTTGCAAAACCTTGTACAGGATGTATACGCCACAAGTCAAATGTCAAAATTAAGAGAGAATCTAAGGGAAAATGGAAATACAGTTTAAAATAATTAATATTCAGACAGTCTGGTTCATTTATTTAAGACTGCCTGTTATAGCAGAGTATTGGCTTGTGTGGTTTTTTTTGCAAGTATCTGAAACACAGCTTCAGTACATGTGTGTATATATACAGGTAATGTTATATAAATTTGTCCCAGCTGTCCCAGGTTAAGTTAATCATATTTTTTTTAAACGTAAACATACATTCACATAATATAATCTACATTTTACCTTTCCAGGTATGAAGCAACAGAGATTGGAATCCACATACTTCATGAAAGTCATGTTTAACAGAGAGAGTCTCGTTTCCACAGCAGCAAGGATGTCTGCATGCCGAGCTAGTGAATGGTTTCTTCTTTCTGACTCCCGTCTAGAAGAAAGACCGTTAAGTCACACTGATTTAACAATGAGTCAACGAAATGAAACTGTAACAATCGCTCAAGTTCAATTTCACCCTTAAAACACTCTGAGGTTTCAAAATGTAACCACTCACATTAGCTCTGCCTTTACAGGGAGAAAAAAAAAAAAAGTGATACAGATGGAGAACCAGCTCTTAACACCATACTACACTTTTGTAGCAGGTTGGCCTGGCCAGATTTTGGCGGTGGTAGGGGGGAGAGCTGCGGGGTGGCTTCTGCAAGAAGCTGCTAGAAGCTTCCCGAGTTTGACAGAGCCAATGCCAGCCGGCTCCAAAGAGGGACCCGCCGCTGGCCAAGGCTGAGCCTATCAGTAAAATGATAGGGGAGGAACACATCTGAAAACATAGTTAAGAAACAGGGAAAAAGAACTGCGCCGCTGCAGCTGGCACAGAGATGGAGGAGT